CAGTCTGCAACCCCCCTAGGACTCTGTAGACCTGGGTTGGATTGCTCACTTGGCCATGGAAACCCACTGGGTGACCTTGGGCAAGTCACACCCTCTCAGCCCCAATTCAATTTCAATTTATTCGGTCTTTGACCAGTATAAATTATAAAAATATATGAAATATGAAATATATACGTTTACAAGTTAATAAACAGATTAATATACAGACTAAAATAAGCTGTATACAATATACAATATACATTATCAACCAGATCTATCTAAACTGTAATAAAATTCTCAGCCCCAGAAAATCCCATGATAGATTTGCCTTAGGGTAGCCTAAGTCAGAAACAACATGGAGGCACACGACAACAAACTACTTCCCTTGATCTGAACACTTGTGCTCCTGTTGATGTAGCCCAAAATTACATTAGCTTTTCTGGCTGCTGCATCACACTGTTGACTCACATTTGGAATGGGGCAGGAGGGAACAATCATGGCAGACAAAAGATCAGAGTAGCTTAGCTGTTTCGGGACGTAGCATCTCCCTTTCCCTCCACATTTCTCCTTCATAATATCCAGCTAGCACAAGGGAGATTTTGTCAAATGGGCTTGGCAGATAATTTGGAATAGAAGGTACAAGTATTTCAGGTAACATGGAGGCTTGTATTTTAAGTCCCTTTCTTTGAGTTCATGATCTGGAGACTTTCCTTCCTCCAAGAGCCCCAGATCTTTGTTTTCCTTGCAATGGCACCTCTGTGTTGGCCTGACCAAGTGGCGGTCATGCCTCTGTTTCTGCAGGAGAGGAAAAGGAGCCCTGAATCCAATCAACAGTCCCACCTAGACAAGAGGGACCCTCTGACTCAATTGCTGAATAGCGGGTCAACATGATAGATGTAAAGATTATTGATTAATTTTCATATTTGCAGTGAGTCAACAGTGTGATGCGGCAGCTGAAAAGGCCAATGCAATTTTAGGCTGCATCAATAAAAGTCTAAGGTCTAGAGATCAAGGGAAGTCATAGTGCCACTCCATTCTGCTTTGGTCAAACCTCACCTGGAATATTATGTCCAGTTCTGGGCTCAGCAATTCAAGAAGGATGTTGACAAACAAGCGTGTCCAGAGGAGGGCAACCAGAATATTGTAGGGTCTGGAAACCATAAAGCCCTATGAGGAGAGACTTAGGGGTTAAGAGGTGATATGATAGTCCCACTTAAGTATTTGAAGGGATGTCATGTTGAGGATGGAGCAAACTTGTTTTCTGCTGCTCCAGAGAATAGGACCCGGAACAATGGCTGAAAGCTGCAGGAAAAGAGATTCCACCTCAACATTAGGAAGAACTCCCTGAAGGTAAGAGCTGTTCAACAATGGAAGACACTCCCTCGGAGATTGTGGGGGAGTCTCCTTCTTTGGGGGTCTTTAAACAGAGGCTGGAGGGATGGCCAACTGGAGGTTGGGGGTGCTTGATGGTGAGTTCCTGCATGGCAGGATGGGGTTGGACTGGATGACCCTTCTTGGGGTCCCTTCCAACTCTAGGATTCCATGATTCAACAGGTCCTTTGCCATATTAATTGGTTATTGGGTGAGCAACTCAACAGGTATGGAGAGTATTATTCCTAAATACTAAAAGGGTATTTACTAATCCCTGTCAGACTGGGCCCATAGGCCAAGGGGGACTGCCTCAGTCCAGGGCTAGGCAACCTTTCCCCTTTAAGGGCCAAGGAGGGACTTCAGCTCCCAGAATCCCAGGAGCTATTGGCCAACATGGCTGGGGCTTCTGGGAGCTGAAGTCCCTCCTTGGTTGGTCCTTAAAGGGGAAAAAAGGTTGCCTAGCCCTGGCCTCAGTCCCAAGGGCCTTCCTTCTCCATTTGACAAGGCTCTTTCTCCCTACACTTCCCCCCAGCTTCGATGTTCTTTATAGAGGCTCCATCCACACTGCAGCAATAACCCGGTTTAATGCGAGGGGACTCTGGGAATTGGTTTGTTCTGACTCCAGAGCAGACGGACATCTTTTGTCTTCTGTTTCCCTGCACTGGTTATTAGTTTGTGTTCTCCTTGTTCGCAGACAGACAGGACTCTACAATTTTCCTATCTCTACAGATGCCCCTTGGCCTTTCTGGGGTGAAAAAGCAGAAACGGAAGTGCCCTTAACAACTTGGTTCTCTATGGCCGGCCTCCTTCCGCCGCTGTACCTCGGCACCATAGAGTAGGGAATCATAGAGCGTCCTCCGCTCTGGAGCTGCGCTGGGCCTCCTCTCCTCTGCGGCCTTGTCGCCCTAGAGAGTCACCGGAAGTCCTCCCGCTCACGGCTCTACATCCGGGACATCGCTAAGGGAAGGCGCCGGAAGTGTTTCACGAGGGCCGGAACTTCCGGTGCGACGTGCGAAGGCGAGGGGGAGGACGCAAGCGAGCGGCTGGTTGGGCCTCGCTTCTCCCGCCGGAGGAAAGAAAGAGCCAGGCCGGGAGGCCGAGGAAGGGGAGCCGGAGAAGCGGCAGCGGCGCCTCGCGCTCTTCCCCCGGTGAGTCTCCCGGCGCGGCCCCGGCCTCCTGCCGCTTCATAGCGACCTCAGCACTCCCGAAGCGGTTTACAGTCTGTAAGCCCCTTGCTGCCAAAAAGCGAGGGAAAGATGGAAGGCCGAGTGGGCCTTGGAGCCCTCCTCTAGCAGCGGACTTACCGCGTTGTGGCCGCAGGAGCAGCACTTGACCATTGGGCCGCCAGGGCTCCTCACTGAGCCGAGGCTACAGTCCCCAGAATGCCCCTCAAAGCTGGCCCTGGACCCCACTTCCCAGAATCCCTTCCAGCCTAGGATTCCCAGAAGGGGTTCCCCTTAGAGCTGGTGTGGGAGGGGCACCTTTCCCAGAATGCCCCTGCCCCACCAAAAACCCTTCCAGGGCCCTCCAAGCTGGACTACGCCTTCCAGAATCCGCCCCCACCCTTGGCTTCTGACCGTTGTTGTTGTTGTTGTTGTGGTGGTGGTGGTGTCCATCCTAAGGCAAACCTGTCATGGGTTTTTCTAGGGTTAGGGTGGCTTTGCCATTGCCTTTCCCCTGAGGTAGGATTCAAAGATGTAGCCCTGTTAGTCTGTAGAATCAGTACGTAGAGAGATAGATTTTGTAGCAACTTTGAGACTAACTAAAAGAAAGAAGTTGGCAGCATGAGCTTTCGTAGACTCCAGTCTACTTCCTCAGATGCATTTCCCTTGAAGCTGAGAGAGTGTGACTTGTCCAAGGTCATCTTGGTGGGTTTACATGGCTGAGTGGGGATTCAAACCCTGGTCTCCAGAGTTGTAGTCCAAATGTTTAAACCACTACGCCACTCTGGCTGCCGGTGAGAATTAAAGTCCAAAAATACACACACACACACACACCTTCACAACTCTTCCAAACTGTGGCTGGAGCACGCGTTTGCCTTGTCCAGGGCTGGTCAACGTCTCTGGTGGCCCCTGGGGCAGTGCCAGCCCCCAGGCCATTGCGATTATTTTGTTGTTGTTGTTGTTGTTGTGTTGTCCCTGGAGAATTTCCAAGAAAGAGAGAAGGGGGTTATAGTCAGTGGGTGCAAGTATGGCACTGATCCCAGACATGTTGGAAAGCAGTAATGGCCACGTTTTGCCCTTCAGGTAGCCTGAGAAGCTCTGGCCACATCAATACAAGGGTCACTGAAGAAATTGGTTGTCATTATGACACTCGCTTTCCTTCCAGTGTCTCACTCTCTCAGCCTCAGGAAAAGAATGGCAAACCTTCTCTGAACAAATCTTGTCAAGAAAACCCCATGATAGGGCCATCTTAGGGTTGCCATAAGTCAGAAACAACTTGAAGGCACACAACAACAACAACAACAACAACAACAACAAAGCGCTGAATTATGATTAAGGATCTGGTGTAGTTCAGCTGCAGCAATTCCTTAGAGGAGTCAACCCCTTCTTAAAGTTTCTACCTTACCTGACACTAACTTTTCTGTATTAAGGAGCGATCCCATCTCTAGTGTCCTCTTCCCTCTCATTCTGCTAAAGTTTGTATCTGGCAATGACTGTCACTCACTGCTTCTCTTCTTCCATTTTGCCAGGTTTTTCTGCTCAAAATACCTGTTTTCTGTAGAGGTTTAGACTCCCTGCTCTCCCAGGTTGTTTGAGAAGTGGGTTCTATACATGAGGTTCTTCTTTGCAGTGTTTTGCCTATAAGTGACATTCCTTCTATATACAGGTTCCCTTGTACAGTCTCTCTTTTTCTGTAATTGGCTCTTGCATTTAACTGTGTAATTCTGAACATTTGATGGGTTTTCGATGTTATTGTACTTTGTTGTATGGGCAACACAACTACCTCGGATATGTTTTCTGTATCTTCCTGACCAATTAATAATAATAATTATTTATTTATTTATATCCCACCTTTAGCCTTGGCCATCAAGGAGGCTTACATAAAATCAATTTAAATGTCTTCCCATTTGGACCATTGGAAATATTGGCCAAAATCCTCTGTCACTATGTATGCTTCATAACTGCACGTAAACTTAGCTATGTAGCAGAGGCACTAAGAAATCTTGTTAGTGAATTGCAAACATGACACTGGCAAGAGAATCGTGATGAGAATTGGGTTCTCCCTAGTTGGTGCCCTTATGCACAATGGAACCAGTGAGCATCAGTTAGTTTGCCATGTCTCCTACATAGTAATATAATAGCAACCCTCTTCAGGATACGGATGTTACAGAACTGCTTAATTCCAATTCCTGTAAATGTAAGCCTGCTTAGAAAGACTTAAGGTCCCAACAGGATTCTGGTCAATACCACTTTCATCCGTAAGGAATACTCCACCTGAACCAGATACTTCCCAGCTCTTTTTGGCCTTTCCCCAGAGTTCAGTTTAAGAGCAGCTCTGTTGCCTTTCTAATGATTCTGGTTTCATCCTGGTTCAAGGGGATCTCATCCCTTCTCTGCCGACCTCGTATGTCTCCAAACAGTTCCCAAACATCTGACATCAGGAAAATTCTTCTACTCTACATCACCTCTATCCCTACTTATAACTGTGTCCAGTGAGCCACTCTGTGCATGGAACAAACCTTGTTTCAGAGAAATCTGTTTGGGAAGACCTGGTTCTCACCTTCCTGTCTAAATCCATAGATTTAGCTGTTAGGATCTCATAACTATTTCCCAGATCATTGGTGCAGATATACCTCGCAGCTGCTAACATATCCCACCACTATCTCCTACACACTTATTCTTCTGCTTTTCTTTAATTGTCCAAGGTTGGTTGTTCTGGTTCAGACGTGACCCTCTGAAGGCAGCCGTGCTGAATCTCAGAGCTTTACCATCTCCTGCTTGTTCTCTGTTGTGCAGACGGTAACTTCCCACCACAATGGGAGACAGCGATGATGAATATGATCGCAGGCGCAGAGATAAATTTCGGCGTGAGAGGAGTGACTATGATCGCTCTCGAGAACGGGATGATAGACGGCGAGATGACTGGAGTGACAGGTTAAGTTCAAACTATGTGGGGGGGGGATAGAAAGAGGGAGGGCAGGTTGGAAGATTGGTCTGGACCCTAGAAGACCCCTGCAGCCTCCCTGTGTAGCTTTGAGGGAAGCCCACTGTGTCTGTGTTTTCCAATATTTAAATGGGAATCAACTCTTTTTGCTTTCAATATCTGTAAGAACTCCTTACAGTTATGTTGAGTGGCAATGCTAGACAGGGCCTTTTTGGTGCCAAATTGTGGGACTCCTATTAAGGGAAACTGGGTTAGCTTGCTGGGAGGAAAAAATCTTTTTGTTTAGGTTGACTTTAGACAACTGGCTGTTAAGGAAGGGGCTTTTTAAGGAAGAGAGGATAATGTACAAATGAATGGGCCTGAGTCAAGCCTGGACTCCCACTAGAAGCCAAGATGACTAAACTGAGGTTCTGGTATTTTGGAAATATTGTGAGATGACATGACTCATTGGAAAGGGCTATAACACTCAGTACAGCAGAAGGCAGTAGGAAAAGAGAGACTGCATGACAGATGGACGGACTCCTTCAAGGAAGCCACAGTTATTTCACTGACTTTGTAAGACCTGAGCAGGGCTGTGAGCGGGAGCCTCTTGAAGGTCTCTCAGAAGTCGAACTTGACTTGATGGCAAATAACATCTGTACTTTCCTTTGCTGTTGTTTCTAATTCAGTTGTTGTTGTGGAACACGTCAGCCCTCTTAATAGTGTTGATTGTTGTGAGCTACCTTGGGTCCCTGTGTTAGGAGAAATGTGGAATAGCAATGAGATAAAGAAGAAACAAAATACTTAATGGTTGTCTCTAGAACCTTTACCTACTGCATGGAAAGTGTAAGGAAACATTCTCCCTCCAACGTCCAGTTAGATGATTGCTGCCTTGCCTGCTTCAGGGAAAATCCAGTAACAGATGATGCTTCCTGTTGATGCTTCCTGCTGCTATGTACTGGCAAGTTACTCTGACTTCTAGGAGGTTTGCCATGGCCTTCCTCCAAGGCTGAGAGAGTGTGAAATGTCCAGTTGCCCAATGGATTTCCTGGTCTTCCAGAGACTTGTCCAACACTCAAGCCATTGCATTGTGGTGGTTCTCATTATGCTTCTTACTAGTTGTGTATTTCTTACTTTCAGGGAGTGGGACAGGGGCCGAGAACGTCGGAGCAGAGGCGAATACCGTGATTATGATCGGAACCGGCGAGAACGGTTCTCTCCGCCTCGCCACGAGCTGAGCCCTCCACAGAAACGTATGCGGCGAGACTGGTCAGTCACTGGTTTTATCTTCTCTATGTTTCTGATGCTCACTATGCACCAGGTTGTTCCTAGGTTTCTGGTTGTGCATACCACACCTCTGGTTTAAACCAACCTTTCTCAGTTTGCTACTCTCTGTATGAGCCAAGGTGTAGCTCCCACCTCTTCCCAAGTGGCTTGCACTGTGACACCTATCTTATTTCCTGCATTCGAGCATCTGACCCAGGGAAGCTTTCAAGCAGAGCATAACGGGTGCATCTATTACCTGTCGTTTATGCATCTATTGTCTGTTGTTTGCCCCCAGCAGCTGCTCTGGAACATGTCCCGCCTCTGAACATACGTTGTATGCTTTTGGTTGTGAACTGAACTCAGTTAATTTTTCTGAAGCTGTTCATCATAATGGCCATGGGTTCATCCTTCAGCAGTGAATTTTCTGGGGTGAATTGTGATTTGTAGATTTTCCAGTCAGTGTCCCCCCTCCACTTCATTTACCCACATCACATGCTCCAGAAATCAGGATCAGTACAAAAAAATGGGCAAGTTACTTTTTAGAGCCACAGCTCTCCTCTAGAATCTCTTAAACCAGCATCGGGAATGGGCAGTGTGAAAAACAAACTAGTGATAATGTTTCCAAGGTTTGGTCAGTACCTTGCTCCATTTGCTGGCTCCCTCCCAGTTGCCTTGGTGTTATTGATGGTTTGCTTTGATGCCGTCTCTGCAGGGACGAGCACGCGGCAGACCCCTACCACACTGGGTACGAGATGCCCTACACTGGGGTCTCCACTGGCCCCACCTACGGACCTCCCCAGCCTTGGGCTCACCCAGAGATGCACGTGACGCAGCATCACATCTTGCCGATCCAAGCCAGGTAAGCCCTCATGGCCGCCTCCGCCCTGCTCCCTGCTCTCCTGGGCCAGCCTTCCACCTTCTTTGCCCAAAGAGCAGGGAGTTGCGAATGGAGCTTAAATGCTGGCTTTCTTGAGCTCAAGCTTTAGCCTGTCTCAGAACAAGTGACTGCAGGCACATCTTTCTTTTGTCTTTTGTGCTGTGTTCTGTGCCTTCAAGTTGTTTCCGATTTATGGCAGCCCTAAGGCAAATGTATCATGGGGATTTCTTGGCCAGATTTATTCTGAGGAGGTGTGCCACTATTGCCTTACCCATGAGGCTGATAGACTTCCCCGAGTATGTCACCCAGTGGGTTTCCATAGCTGAGCAGAGATTTGGACCCTGGTCTCCCAAGAGTCCTACTCCAACATATAAATAAATGCACTACACAAGCCTGTGTTTTATGGTGCAGATTAAATAAAAAGTTTGTACAAGCTTACTCTTGACAGTCTTGCAGTTCAGCCCCAGCTATTTGAATAAAATTTAAATGAGACGTTCTTGAAAATTTCTAGTATGTTGTCTTCTGATTTTAATTTCTAAGATGCTATTGTAACATTGACAGATGCTGCCTTTTCTGATTGTACTGTTCTGGGATTTTTATTTCTCTGTTGTTATAGATCTGTGCAGCATTTTAGTTGGCTGCTTGCAATCCTTTTAATTTGTCAGTTGATCCAGAAACCATTGGGAGCACGAAGCAGAAGTTGTGACTAAATATATAAGATAA